TGCGCCATTTTATTTCGCTCGCATTTCGAATCTCGGTATCATACTTGTGTAATAAGACTTTATCTACTTATCATTTATCTCTTTATTTATACGATTTCTCGCAAACTGGATTGATTAAGAATTGAATTGATTGAGAATTCAAGTGTTAGTATCTTATGAGACGTGCTTAATCTACTCCATTATACTTAACTTTTATGAAATTAAAGCCTCAGGCTATTTTTTGTGATTTTCAATTTAAGCGTGATAAGTTTATATGCAAAATAGGGTATATATATATATATATATCCATAAGAATGGGATATACGACTCATAAAAAATTTACAAATAATGCTTATAAAGACGTAAAATGATACTGTAATTTATAAAATGTGTTTGCAAACTTTATTAGGGAATAAGAATGCTAAATGTATACGAAATAATGGATAATAATTCTAATCTTTTGCATATATTACAATTAAATATTATTATATAAGGCAGACACATTCATATGACGTATTGTATTCATATAATCTATTGTACTCGTATTTAATGCACTGAATCCAATCTGCGCATTTTGTGTGCTTTCGGTATAAATCCCTTGCGCTAAAATGCTGTATATCCCAAATAGATGAACATACAAGCTGAGCATGTATTTGAAATCATTTTATTTAAAACGCAGTATTGCTAATACAAGTGTATTTTGTATTTTATATTTCAGTGGAGCACGTGAAAGTATTATGTATTTTGTATTTAAAATCAAAAGATTGAAAGTTTTTCGTTCAAATTTTTTAATTCAAATAATGAGATTGATTGTCAAACTCTCTCTCTCTCTCTCTCTCTCTCTTAGTATTTGAAATACAAAATACAAAATACTTTTATACGCTCCAATTACATACAAAATACAAAATATAATTAAAATATAATTGTCTTACAAACGTTTTTCAATTGTAAAAGTATTTCGAATACATGCCCAGCCTTGTATGCATTAAATTAAACAAAAAATACAACAATTACACATTGATATTTTACAATACTCCATCTCTTACTGTTTTTCTATACTTATGTATCACAAAATAACCAAAAGTCTTTTGTGCAAGTTACTTTATTGACAAATCGATTCACAATAATTCCGTTAATATTAACAGTAAAAAACTGAAATCGCACAGTATTAATATAAAGGCATATAACAGAAACGTAAATTACGATTACTTTTCCTACTTTTTTTGACTACTATTATAAATATATATAACCGAAGTTATCTTTTCATTTATACGTATACATTTATTTTTCATATTATTTTGTAACCTGTTTTTTATTATTGTATTTATTCTTTTATATTTTTATTGATATGAGTGTTTTCAGCTTGAGAGAATGTTATCTTAGATCGCGTGATAAATAAAACTGTCTATCTATTTGTTTTATCCACTTTCTTTATCTACTTGCGACAACAATAAATTATATTATTGTAACAAATAATACAATAATATTGATATAGAATTCTTTCGCATATCAACTTTACCGATGCTCGATCTTCGTGCTCTGTAAAATCTCAATAACTTATAATCGTCGTCTATTATAGGACTTTGCAGAAGTTTCGGCAATCATGAGGATCGGTCGTGTTCTTGCGCTGCCCGATACCCTTATTATTCGCCTTCACAACAAGATCAACGACACTTTTGCGCGCCAGCGAGTTGTTTAACTCGCAGATAGCCGTCGAGGCCTCCGCCACGCGATCGACGATCACGAGCACGACGGCTGATTCGTGGTCGTCGCGCAGAAACGTAATAATGATAAATAATAACGAGATACATGGGTTTTTGAAATAGAAATAAACGAACGGTTTAATTTGCGACGAGGCGCGAGTCTGTATCGGTTTACCCATTGAATACCATCACCTTAAGGGCAATTAATTTTGATAAAAATATCAATAAATCGAAGTGCACTCGATATTATTTGTGCGACAATCGTCTGCACACTCTAAAAAATATGGTATGGATTTAACACAATGAGGTGTCAATATAATTCTCAGCGTGTTGGTGTTAATATTAATACCAGGGATTTTAAATCTATACCATGTTGGTGTCAATATTGACCAACACGGTGAGAATTATGTGGACGCATGATGTTAAATCTACAGCACAGAATATTTATGATAAATATTTATTAATATTCATTTTTTGAAATGTTATATAGATATTTCATACATATTTTATATAAAGCTTTATTCGAAATATTATTAAAATATAGACCCAAATATTTTACGTAATATTTATGATAAATGTAAATAAATATTTCTAAAAAGTATTTTTTACTTGAATATTATTAATGTCTCATTAAATATTTTCATAGCATTTTACTATAACATTTACAATAAATATTTCATATTATTTATAATAAATGTTTATCTAAGAGACCACAAAAATATATTTACAAAATATTTAAAATAAATCTTACAAATATTTATAAATATTTTGTAAATATTGTGTGTTGTCTGGGACATTTTTTTAGAGTGTATAGCAGTTTGCTAAGCTTATTGAAACAACAGATCGTGGTTTTTGCCGAAACATGTATGTATGTGAAGAATTTCTGTAAAATTTTAGAAATAATGAAAAGTCAGTATAGTTACTTAATGTAATTAATATAGACATGCAAAGTATTGCTTCATTCGGCAATATCTTCTGAATATAATCTGTTTAATCTAATCTAAATTAAGTAAATTGTATTCGCGGATCCGAATCTATTGCGTTCGGCACGAATTGAAAACAAGCCCGACCTGACGAGAGAATGGAATTAACCATTCTGTGAAGTGGGCGGCCGATATATTTAACACAATCGTCACCAAGAAGCGTTCCTCGTTAGTTCCTCGTAACCAGGAATCATCTCGGTTTTTTCGAATTTTTCAAGTACTCTTTTTATTAATTGTGTCTTCGCTTTCCACTTAAATAAAAAAAAAAGAAAAATTGTAGAGGAAAGATTTACAAGTTTTGTTACAATGTGTACACAATTATGAAACTTTAACTCAAAATGATGTTGAAATTAATCGTGATCGATCAAAACATGCCTTTTGATAATCATTTTGAAGCTATTTTGATGTCATGTAACTAACATAGGCATGCAAAGTATTGCTTCATTCGGTAATATCTTCTGAATATAATCTGTCTAATCTAATCTAAATTAAGCAAGTCATCGTGATTTTTTTGTTCTGCTCGAGTAGTTTTCGGAAAAAATGTGTATTTTGCAAATTGACTCATTCGGTAACGAAAAATCACGCCACCAATTGTTGAACGCATCCGATGTAATAATCAACAACACGCGTCCATCGAATCTGTTATCGTCGAAGGAAGGACGAAGACAACATCAACCGACGAAGCGATTTATCTCGCGGTTGTTACGTACATTACACATTATTCATCATTCGATGAATACTAATTTCGCTATCTCACACGAATTTCCATTTTTATCCTGCCAATAGTAAATTGATAAACAATGTCGAAACTGCAATACAGCTTTCGGCTCGAAAGATATATTGAAGTAAGAATATCGAAATTTTTTTCTAATATATTTATATAAATATATTTATACATTTTTCTAATACATCTACTTGGTTAACGTTTAAAAAAATCACTTATTGTAAGCTTTCCACCGCAACGGCATTCGAGAGATGCGAAGTACATATATTTCTACATTTGACTTTCCGATGCGTCATTGTTTTGACGCGAGTAGCGTGGAACAAAGTGTTCGCTTCAAGGTATCGGTTGCCTCCATGGATCGTCAATCCGAAAAGGCTTGTGCGGGCTCCTTCCGGCGCTCGTTGCCGATTACTCCGGATGCGGGTTTGTCGCTACGGATTAGGTCATGTTATAAGCAACGCGGTAATGTACGAGTACAGAGCGCTTTTTTTTTTTTTTAAATAATTTGTCCACGTAAGCGAGGAAGAGAAACTTTAGTTGAAAGGTGACTAAAGATTATACAAAATATATAATCGATATTATTTGTTTCCAATATTTTTTTTTATTCTTATACATTGAATAAACAATCACATTTATCGAATTATCTAGACTTCTAGATTATCACATCCAATGTTTTCTAAAAAAAGATTGAGAGCACATACGAAAGAAATTCCAACGATAATCGTCTAATTATTAGACAAGTATAATATTTATAACTCAGAATTACTTAATCTATGGAATCTGCTTTCTCTCTCTAAAAAATTGAATGTGATTAATTTCGATTCGGTTAGTTTTCTTATGCGTCTCTAGTAGAATAAGACTGAAACGAAAAAGAAGATAAATAAAAAGAGGAGAAAAAAATAAGAGCACTAATTATATCGATGCTTCGAAATTGCGTCTGTTCGACTGAGAAACGAAATATAAATCTAACAGTTATGTAATTTTACAAAAAATATATCAGCTATAATGGTACGAGGAAAAATGTGCGGATCTTTATTGCTTAGGACGCAGGTCATTGCGTTCGCATAAAATAAGAAACAACGAGAAAGTTGAAGGAAGGGATAAAGCAAAACAGAGAGAGAGAGAGAAAGAGAAGTGAGTTTGTAGCGAAGGACGAAGAGATTCGTAGAAACGAAGAGACGAGGCCGTTCACGGCCTATATGCGAACGGAGAGAGACGAGAATCGTGGACCCGACAGAGTGAAAGACGTACACAACATTAAAACGGCGAGGGTGCGAGGGAGGGAGGGGGATGGGCGCAGAGGCATGACGCTCGCGGGGCGCGCCATGACGTATCGACCGTGCTCGCCACGCGCGCTGACGTCACGATCACGGCCCGAGTCGGGACAAGTCAGACTGGGAGCACGTGAACAGCACGCCCGCGATCACGCGGCCACGAGCTGACCGGACGGCGCCGATTGGCCGGCCGCCGGCGAGCCCCTCGCCGCGATTGGTCGCGCCCGCGCGCGCCGCGTGATCGCGCACGTACACACGCAACGGCCGCGGGTCGGCGCGTCCCATAGCCAGGCGCCTCGACCTGAGAGAGCCTTATTGCATCGCGAGACACCCGCTGGTTCGCACGCGTACTATACTCGTCGCTCCAGTTTATCTCGACGAGGGTTCGGCGTGCGCGCGCGCGCGCGCGTTCTCCGTTCTTTCTCGTTTCTCCCGTTTTGCTTTTTGACTTGGGAAACAGTGGTTTCTGGTTCTCATTTTTTTTTTCTTATCTCGAGTCACGAATCGTGTTCCTCGTTCTCTGCGTGAATATGGATACGAATCAGGCGCCTCTTTCCCCACCGGCCTCGCCCCAGTTGAAACATGTAAGTGGCAGCGAATTAAATATACCGCCATAACATCGCCCGCCGTTGCCCGCGAAACTCGAACGTCTTCGCTTCTACAGTGTTAGTTTTCTCGTTATTTTGTGATAGTGAATCGTTACATTTATGGTAAAATAATAATTTTTATTCATGATATCAGGATAATTATGAAATTAAATAAGTTTTATATACTATTTTGTATTCGAAATTGATTTCATTAATACAAATTTGATTTTTTAATATCTCACATTAACTTTTAAATTTTATTAAAGTTTAATCTGAAGTTATCTCAAAATTAAATTTTATTTTCTGTTTGATGATTGATTGCTTATCGATACTGTTTCTAAAAAACAAAAGAATTATGAAATAAGACTAATATAATAAGATGAGATAAAACAAAAGGAATAAATAAAATATTTATATAGAAATTTAATATTTATCAATAAATAATGTTTATATTAAGAGCATGCGCCCTCAATTATCTTTCAAAGAGAGTTAGAAAAATAGAAGTATTCATTTATTTTACTCTTTAATCGCATTTACTTTATACGTGTATATTATAATTGCGTATTACTGTTACTTGACATATTGGGAACATATTTTTTTACAAAAATAAAATCCTGACTTCGTATACTTTATTTTAATATCTTACGTGTCTTGGACTAGATAATTTCATTCAGCAGGCATTTACACGATGAATCTCTTTGACGAAATTATGCTCTTATACTTTCTTTTGTTTAGCAGATGGAACCACTACAATTATCGTTCAGCGTTGCGGCTCTGTTAGGGGAGAAGCTTTCGGATCAGTCGACAAGATCCAAACGGAAAGATGAAGAGAACGCGGGTTCCCATCCCGTTCTACCGCCTACCCCTCAGCCCTCCGACTCGGAGGAAGATGAGCCACCCCGAAAGCGGCGGTGCGTCGAGCAATGCGAGCTGGCAAAGGTAAATAAAGCAGAATGCCTTATCGAGAGATAGCTATGTTTTCCTCTGCCTCTCTCTCTCTCTCTCTCTCTCTCTCTCTCACTCAGTTAACGCTAAATATTTCTGAAATATTCGTAAGATGTTTCTAAAATCCTCAAAATAATATACCAAGGATATTCCGGAATATCCCGAAATATTTTGAGAATGTAAGAGCAATATTCAAGTTGCTAAATATTTCATTATTTATACAACGTTACATATTCGGAGAATATCCCATATATATTCCGCAAAATTATAATTTTCCTAAAAATTTTAGGTCCGGAGGGCCTCGAATAAATTTTTAAATAAAATTATACAGAAACACATTTTTTTTTACTTTCACCATGAAGCCCAATTTTTAGGACTCACTTCACTTCAAGTGAAATGTGATTCATTTTCGCCGCGGTTCTCTGTTGGTGAAGATGCGTACTACTTACGGATGAGTATAATATATACAAGAAAATGTTCATATAATATTCCGAATATTTCATTAATATTTAAACATTCTATGAAAATTCTTTTGCTGTTCCGAAATATTCGACACATTGGGAATACGAATCAAACTTTCCATGAATGATTGTCGTTGGCTGAGTCTCTCTTTTTAGTTTATTCTCTTCCTTTTTTCTTAGTTTCTCTTCTATTTATTGGCTCGTTTTAATCGACTGGAATAGAGAGCGGATTAGAGTTGTTGTAATATGACTCCGTTTGAATGCGCACCGTTTCATTGATCTTTTCATCTTTTTATCATTCGAGTAGTTGTACCTTTCGACGATATTTACGACAAAAATGCTGACTGCTATATCGGTTCCTTGTTGATAAATAGCTTGTGATATTGGCTGCATTTAGCAGAGAAAACAACTTTGCAACTGATGTAAAATTCTTCATATGATTAGTTTTATCCTTAGTTTTTCTCATTGGATCTAAATGTATAAACAAATCATACTGACAAATTTTACAACAGTTGTAAAGCTGTTTTCTCTGCTGAACACAGCTATTACGATCTGATAAGACGATACATATATATATTTAGCATTTTTCAGTATATCTATCTATAATTGCTATAATAGTTTCAAATTATTTCTTCTAGACTATCTATTATTCAATGCGTTACGGAATGTTTCGAATTTGCTTATAAATCGGACATTGAGATACACAGTTGTATTTATCCTTTTGCATAAACTCGCTATACTGAATAAATTTAGGGTTTGTTTTTGTTTCTTCATCGAGCGTAAAGGAATATCTTTCAGAATAAAACTACAACCTCAGACAGCACACAATATTTATATAATATTTACAAAATATTTATAAATATTTATAAGGCTTATTTTAAGCCTTTAAATATTTTGTAAATATTTTTGTGGTTAGATTGCATAGATTACAAACATTTATTATAAACATTATGAAATATTTATTCTAAATCTTTTAATAATATTTCGAATAATGTTTTATATAAAATATGTATAAAATATTTATGTAATACTTAAAAAAATAAATAATAAATATTTATTACATAAAAATATTCTGTGCTGTCTGGGATGTAGCCTTCATAATTTCTCCGAACTGCTTGAATACAAAGCTTTTTATTGTTTCAGCTGCTGCTAGACGGTACGCCTCCGCCAAGCCCAGAGCCAGCCCGGGTTTCGGTAATAATGCGCGCCAATCGGGACGGTACCTGCAGCCCGGCTAATCTCGCTGGTTGCCCCGCGACCTGCGGCCGATTGGTACCACGTGATTCGCCCGCGCGACAGTCGACCAGTTCGCAGGCGAACGTGCGAGCGAACGTAACGAGACCGGTGGAGAACGTGCTGCGCAGCCTGAAGTTCAAGATGAGCTTGCGCAAGGAAGAAATCATCGTGAACAGCAAGAATACCGATCGCGAAAGCTGTCAGCAGCAACAGCAACAATATCAACCTCAACAGCAGCAACAATTACCGAAATTGCAACCCCTGGCGCCCAAACCCACTCCCATTGTGGTAGCTGGCTTGTTGGGTTCACCTTTGGTCCTCCCACGGACGCCCCTTCTGTTAGTCGCAAGCGCAGCACCGACTATCACCACTGCCACGACCACGACGACGAGTACAGGTGTTGCGGAGACACGGCGCCGCGTTTACGAGTGCGAGTACCCGGGCTGTGGCAAGAACTACTTCAAGTCGTCACACCTGAAGGCCCATACCCGCACCCATACCGGCGAGCGACCGTTTCCGTGCCCGTACGAGGATTGCAACCGTCGTTTCTCACGCAGCGACGAACTGTCGCGGCACAAGCGCACGCATACCGGCGAGAAGAAGTTCGCCTGTGCCGTCTGCCAGAGGCGATTCATGAGGAGCGATCACCTGGCGAAGCACGTGAAACGTCACGCCAGGGACAAGTCCTCCACGTCATCTTCCTCGAACGGTCAGATCGTCGCATCCCAGATGGCCCCGACGCCGCTGAGGGTGAGTTTGCTGCCGGTGTTGGCGCCACGACTGACGCGACCCGTTCAACAGCTGGTACCTCCTCAGCTGGCGGCTTGAAGAACGCACTCGCGACTTTCGAAATCGCTTGAGAGTCGTACTTTGTCAATCACGTGTGTGCCTTAGACTTCAGAGTCGAATTGGATCGCTTCTGGCATTTGAAGATGAAGAACAGTATGAAAAGAAAACTAGACTGATCTAATTAATTGAGGCAATGTTAAAAACGAAAATTAAAGCATCCAACATTTTAAAAATTGTATTTAAGATATAAAAAATTAATTTCGATTCATCCTGATGGAGTGATGTTAATTTGATAGAAAAATACGATAGCGAACCTCGATCAATTGGAAGGTGTATTAAGAAGTGGATTTTGATGTTTCAAAATGAGACTATTAGAAGAAAAGTGGAGCAAATTGAGCTAAGCGGGGAGAAAAACAGAATAAGCCATAAAGGGTGGAGTGAAGACACGAGACGACGATTGGTCCATCGCATAGAGGTTTTGGTGTCGTCCGCAAACCAAGTACCTAAATGTGTCTGTGATCTGTGACACGTGAAGATTAGTGTGTCGTTCACTCGAGAGTTCTGCTATCTTACGAGTCACTTACGGAGAGTCGGACTCGTAGCGTGCATTCAGTGCTAAATGCAATCGCACGCTTTTCAGTATGGAACAATATGGAACGTGAGTTTAACTGCGTTAAACAAATTGAACGAACAGCATTTAACGCCACACATGGAACATGAGAACCCTATTTCTAAGGATACCGTTTAAAATCAATCGATTCTTCGCTGGTCGGAGATTTTTTATAGACAATGTAGAAATCTAAAAGTTATTCGAAAGATATTAAAGCGATACTTTTTCTCAGATATTCTTTCAACCCGTTTTAGATTTTCCTATTGTTTTGCCTACTATATAGCTGTTCCCCGTGAACGGAACTCTTTAGCATCAAGTTCGAGCGCGTTGACCGAGAGACAGAAAGAAAGAATATTTATTTATGAGACATTATTGATTTATGTATATAACGGTTATGTACAGGATTCTAAGATTATGATCACACTAAACGAAACTAGTTGTGCATATTGAATATGGATAACGTAGGAGCGGATGCAATAAACAATGTCATGCAGATTATCATCTCATGTTGATCGATTCTGTTGATTTTTAAAAATTACAATTACCATTTTTTACATCTTTTATGAGCTATTTAAAATATTATTTTTTTCTTCGAGAGTTTATTACGTTTTATGTATTTGAAGGGACAAATCATGGTTATCGTAATGGTAATTTATATGGTAATTTGTAAAATATTGCGTTCGCTCCTGGAACATGTATATATGTATATGTATTTGTATCACAGTCAAGCGAAGGAACTTCACTTGGCGATATAAGACTTCAGTGTATCGTTAAACTGTATAAAAGTTTTTCTACAATTAAATAAATTGTATACTTTCGTAAATCATTATGAGTAATATTATCCTTCTTTCCTTTTACGTTTTTCTTTATAATTGATAATTTTGCAAGTATTAGTCGATATAAATAATTTAGCGGCTTGAAGAAACAATCCTAAATTCTAAAAAAAGTTCAATTATTTTAAAAGAAAAATTACCTTCCTATACAAATACAGAGGTCATGAATTATTAAATTCTTCGATTTTTATATTGTTTGTCGTAATTAATTAGCAAAATGTTTATTCGTAATATCTTCAGTGTTAACAAACTAAAGAATTATGCACGAGTTTGTATATTGGCGGTACAAAATTGGCATTACCTTTTCCAAGAAAAACTGCAAAATAGAAGAATCGTACGGCTATTTTTGAACGAAAGAACGGATTTTTTAAATATAAAAACGAGGATACATGGGAGCAAATTAAAATTCTGTGGGGAAGGTCGCGGTTCGAGTTGACTAAGATAATGATGATGGGGAAGAATTATATACCATGTGTGATATGAAAAAATTGATGACGTGTCATTCTTGAGAGGCACGTCGCGCCGCTCTCGAGAGGCACGTATTATGTCCTTCTCGAGAGGCACATACAGCTCAGGGACACGTAGGCCCACGTGAACATGAAATGCCTGATAGGTTCGCTGAGCCGATAAGGCGTGCAACTTATATTTCCATAAAACAACGAACAATTATAAAGGTACAGTTTTTTTTTCTAGAATTTCAAAGAATCAATTTAAGTACGCGGGTTGACGTTTTAAACTTTAAGTTGGATATTATTACATTTTTATAAGATCGAGAGAGAGAGAGAGAGAGAGAGAGAGAGAGAGAGAGAGAGAGAGAGAGAGATTATTAATGTAGCAGTATTAAAATAAAGATTTGTTTCATATGATCTTTGATACTTAATTGTATCAAAGTGTTGTATTGGAATACTGGACGACATTCTGTGTTGGCATTAAAGATAAAATATGAATAAAAATATTCAATAACATTTAACGAATTAATACCATAGAATAATTGATTCAGTATGTACATTGAAAATTATTATGTAATTATATTTTTTATCGAGAGTTTAGAAACTTGATAACTTGCAAAATAGCAGTAATGAGAATTAACAAGTAAATAAAGGTTTGTTATCGCAGATGTTTGTATTAAGAAAAATTCTTGTATTTACGTCGATCATGACGGAAGAAGAAATGACAAGAAAATATATTCTCTAATTTATACGAATTTACGCGAATCGCTTTTTGCCGACAAAAGACGTGACTTGTTGAATTGGATAGGATAATAAGATGCAAAAAAACTCTCTTGTAACAAGATATGTATGATAAAAGTAATAAGATATTCTATTTTTTGCATGGAGGGATTTTCGATAGATAATTAGGTTTGTTTCCAGAAAATTTCCATCACGTGAACGCGCGTGACTGTTTAGACATTCGCGATATCGTCTCTTTTGCCGATAAGAATCAATTAACCGCATTATCATTTGCGGTGTCAATATTCAGACATTTCTGATTGATATTAGGAAACTCGTATATATGATCTCAGTTTCATTTCTCAGTAATCTTTTTAGTTTTTTTTATCACATTTTCGGTCGAATAACGGAAATATATAATTTGTATTTAATAACAACATGATACAACGTTATCTAAATAATATCCTAATACCTGCGAATTTACATATTTGGATTATTGTCTGAATGAACTTTATTATTTCCTGTAGCTTTTTTAAGTACTGAACACATTCGTTTTTCAAATTTGACTTTCATGTCATAATTGTGGAAAAAATAAAAAATTAAAGAGGCAAAAATAACGATTGTGAGAATTTTTATGAGACGTTGTAAAATATTTTTTTCTAAATTAACACTTTATGTAAAAAATAAGTGCTTTTGGATATAATGTCCAAAAGCACTTACATAATCGGATTATATTAAAAATTATGAAATGAAATATGAAATTGAGAAAATATAATATGGCTATTTTCAAATTGCTATATTTAAAAAACGAAAAATCATTTCGAAATGAAATAAAATACATTTTAAAACTAAAAATTGATACTTTCGTGGCATTAACAATTTTGAAAAGAAATTTGTTGTCAAACACAATGCTACAAAATATCATAAAAACCCTAAAAATTGTCATTTTTTTTTTCTTTAATGCGACTTTTTCTTAAAATTGTGACGTGCTCAAAAGAATTTATGTTCAACAGGCAAAAATATATTAAAAATAGCTAAAACTGTTTAAACAATTTTTTGCAGGCTAGTGTATACCTTAACAGACAAATTATATAATGTTGAACATCTATCTTTTATACAAATATTGATGACATCAAATTAATCAATTTTTTAATCTTATATATACGAGATTTTGTAAGTTTTTAAGAACTGTTAATAAATATTTTATTGATTATATTAATATTTTTTTAATAAATTATATCTGATTATCATACGTTTTAATACTCACAAATATCTATCTAAATTTAACAGGAATAAGGTTGGTATTAGAGTCTATAAATGCATCTATTTCTTGCTGTTGACGTAATAATGCAATAAAGCCATATGAGAGTCACGAGGGCACGAATTAGAAGTTGACGCAAAGATAGCAAAGTCTTATTTGCATAATTCCACATGCATTATCGCAATTTGCCAGACGTATTTCATGAGTTCGCCGACATCGATATTAAGATTTCTGCCAAGTAAAAAATAAATAGTTAAATAGTTAAATAAGAGCGCGTATATGGAAGGATGAATGAGATAAGAATTTATTGTGTTTTCTTCTTGGCTATGTAATGCTGAAATGTAATAAATTCTATTCTATTCTATCAAGATTTCTACCATTGTAGGTGAAAAATATTTTAGAAAGCAATACATTTTTTATTTATAAATATCTATTTGATAGAGCGCCATACATATTCCGATATAATTTCGGTCATATCACAATATAATGCTATAAACATTTTATAAGATATCTTGGTCGTTCATTGTGGTCTATGGACATTAAATTCTGAGATATATTAGTTATTCCCAATAAAAATGTCTTTGTTTAATCTATCATTATAGATTATTATACTATATTAGGTTAAGCAAGGACGTACATCGTACAGGTCGCGGTCTAAACGCACGCTGTAATCGTAGTCATTGTTTTTATAGATTTCTATTTTCACTTGCAGGCTTTGCAAATTATGTGCAGATAATACAGAGTAAAAGTGAATACGAATTGAAAATATTCGTAATCATATTAAAAAATATTCATTCAAATGAAATGAAAAAGTATTTATTCGTTTCTTGACGAATAAAAAAAGAAGCGTATTCGAATGAGTATTTTTATTTATTTTTTATTCATTTATTCGAATATTAGGTGTATTAACCGAACACTAATACTCTGAAATTTTCTACATTCGAGATAACGGAGACTCGAAATATGATATATTCTGGAAATACAAAAGCAGAATTTGAAGGGCATCTTTTCACGAAAAGAGAATTTCCGTATTTACGCTCGTATTACGATTATAGCGTATCTCTAGCGAGGTTCCATCGAATTTTTGCCAGATATATGTTATCAGCGACAATATTTTTTTATCACACGTATCATCTAAATTGCATATTTTGCATGTGCACCAACGAGACGTTTCTTATCGCAGATAATTTGGATCTGATAATTGAAGTCACACGTGAGAAAAATAGGAGCTATAACTCAGTAGATGCCAACTAAAAGCAAGGTTGTATTGTATACTTCAAGATTACGTTTACATCAAATTATGTATTATTTATGTTAAGTTTACATCTACATGAATATTTCATGTAGATAAATA